AGCCTACCGGTTTCGGGGCGGGTGGGGTGTGTGCAAACCCTCCCCGGTTCCCCTCCTCTCAACTGCCTGGTTTCAGGGGTGCAGCCGTGCAATCCCCCCGTCCCTCACGGTGCTGCGGGCCTCCCTCCCTTCTCTCCCCGCAGCACTCCTCAGTGACAGAGGATTCAGGGCTGGAGCACAGCCTGTTGCCTGTACCCAAATACCGTACCATGGCCTCCGAGCTGGTAATCCGCCGCCGCACTGCCCTGCGTGACATCGGCAACCGCGCTGCTCGGCCAAAAACATGGGCCATCACCAAAAAAGCGGTGGAGAAGGGGAGCTGCCAGGAGGAGTCCAGCACCAGGGCCCTGGCCGTCACTACCCTGGACAAAACATGTACCAGGAGTTCGAGGGCTGCCACCGATGAGGAGTTGCAGTCTACAGCCATGGACCCCAAGCCGGAGCCTTCCCAGGTACTGCCTGCAGTCTCCCTGGGGCCACGTGCCCCTTCCCCAGCCTTGGCTTGTGCTGCAGCAGGGCTGGGCTGAGGTGCGATACGTGGCCTCACTCAGTGCCCTGAAATAGGGGTTATGAGCCCCCACAGTGCAGGTCGCCCCATGGGAGCCTTTGCTTGGCCCACATTGGGCTGCAGAGGGAGGTGCTGCCTGTGTTGATCCCAAATTTCCTTGCAGTTGAAACCTCAATCTCCAACCCTCATGGAAACACCTGGATGTGCCCCGCCAGGCAATGTGCTCTACCAGGCTTTTTCTGATGTCTTGCTTGATGTGGAAGATGATAATGACCCAAACACCCCCACCGACTATGTGAAGGACATTTACAAATATCTGAGAAAACTTGAGGTAGGTGGGAGTAGGTCAGAACTGCATGGGGCATTTGCTGACACTTACAGTGAACCTGTCATTATAGGTGTGGCTTGGAACTGGTAGTTGCTTTCACCTATGGATTTTCCTGAGGCACTAATAAGTGATCCCTCAACTTAAAACAGAAGATTAAACTGGGCTGATAACATAAACATAAGCTGGTTGTTAGAGCCACCAACTAGCAGTACCAGTACCATGCTCTTTCTGGCCCATCTCTAGTAAACCAGGAAACATTGTGCCTTGTGGCCTACATCTATGGGCTATGCCTGTACTGAACTCCTTGATAAGCCTTAAGATGCAACAAAAGCTAAGCATTGCAAATGCTTCAGCTAAGTGACTAGATCTATTAACCCTGCTCTCCTCCACACAGGAAAATCAACCTGTCAGACCCAATTATCTGGCCAGCCAAGCAATAAATGGGGATATGCGTGCCGTACTAATCGACTGGCTTGTGGATGTGCAGATGAAGTTCCAACTCCTCCAGGAGACCTTGTACCTGGCAGTTGCTATTATTGATCGCTTCCTGCAAGTAAGTGTCTCTCACAGTGTCAGGCAGGGCATTTCTCCTAAGCTAAAGCACAATGAGCACTGAGCAGTAGGGCCGTAAGTGGTTAGACATGTTACCTGTTACAAAATACAGTTGACCAAAAAAGGGCATTTGATGTTGAATTAGATACACCACATATCCCTCTCAGCTATGAACAGTGACTTTATATGTCAAAACTGCCTACTCCTCTCCCTGATTTGAACACAAAGCCTTCTAATATCCCTGCAAAAGCCAATAGAGTTACCAGATGATATACAGTTATTCTGTACATGCCAGTGTGAACATCCTGCCATAGAACAAACTTTACATTGGCTACCTTGAAGAGCTGTGTTCTGAGCCAAGTCATTCAGATAAACCTCTACTGCTTCTTCCTACAGGACAATTCCATTTCCACTACGATGTTGCAGCTGGTTGGTGTCACGGCTATGCTTATTGCCTGCAAATACGAAGAGATTGTTTTCCCAGATATTGAAGACTTTGCCTACATAACCGATCATGCTTACACAAAGTCTCAAATCCTCCAGATGGAGAGGAAGATCCTGCAAGCTCTGGACTTTAGTCTGGGTTGCCCTCTCCCCCTGCATTTCCTGAGCAGGACTTCAAAGATTGCTAAGGTAGTGCTAAGAATAGGTGCTGCTTACACCTATGCAATATCCGGCTGCGGCAGTTAAAATTGCTCAAAACTTCTGAGTACTGCAACAGTTTAGCAACTCAGCCTGGTCGAGACCTGTCGCCCATGTAGAAACAGGTCTTGTTTGCCTGTTTTCTGTCGCATGAGCTTAACCCACCCAAAACCATAGTTAAAATGGCTGTCTGGTAACTGCTAGGCTGCCACTGAAAGGAGTGATGCTCAACTATGAGCAGCCTAATACAGCTCAGAATTGCTCTGTGATAAATTCACTTGAATTCCAAGCCTATAGCTCTGAAAATGTTCACTAAGTAAGTATTTCTTGCTGCTTGACAGGATGCTCTTGCTTTGGAGATAGCTAATACTCTGCTTTGACTTACTGCAGGTCAGCCCTGAACAACATGTTCTGGCCAATTACCTGATGGAGTTGTCCATTGTGGACTATGATATGGTTCACATCCCACCATCAAAAATTGCAGCAGCTGCTTCGTGTTTGTCTCTGAAACTCAGTGGATGTGAATGGGTAGGTCATGCCTGTCAGACCACCTCCTAGTTTGGGAGTCGGTGTGCCTGTGCACCAGCTTAAAAGGCCACTCTGTGCCAAGTGCATGCCTCCTGCTTCCCTTGTGGTATGTCAGCATGTTCTTGTCTCCCTGTGGCCCATTACAAGGGGACAGTACTAGGGCAGTAACTATTAACCCTCTGCTGTGAGGCAGGAGACTGCAATTGCCGAAGCCCAACAGGAAGCAAAGAAACCAGTGTACTCTGATTGTTCTCGAAGGCTTGTCTCATGACTTCTTTCCTTTCAGACACCAACTCTGCAACACAACACATCCTACACAGAAAACGACCTTCTTCCAGTTATGCAGCACATGGCAAAGAACATCGTCCTCATGAATATGGATGCTACCCAGCTCATGGTAAGAATCTCACAGTGCAGGTGGGGGCATGTGTGGTTAAGTGTCGATAGGTGGTGCTTTGAAGCTGGCTTAGCTGAGCAACTGCTGTCAGACTTGGATCAGACCTGCTCACTTAGCTGAAGATTTCTCTTGCCAAAGTGGCATGACTCAGCTGTGAACTGGTCTCGTGTGCTAGGGTGGGCTTGGCTTGACTATCAAGCCTCAGGTGAGCTGAAATAGTGTAAGCTTATCAACAGGGTAAACTTAATCAAACTTTTCTCTCTGCAGACAATCAAGAAAAAATATGACATCTTGAAAAATCACAAGCTACTCCTGACTGATCAGCTGGGCTCTTCCATTGTACGGGATCTAGCAAAGTGTGTGTTTGAAAAGCTGTAATTCCTAAACTAAAAATCTGTAACTCTTAGATTAACTCAAGTAGAGTACTGTCACTGTCTAATGTATACTACTTGTGTGTTCTAAATACTTTTAATAAAGCAGTAGTGGATTTTATGTCAGGTCTTTGGGGTGGAGGCTGTGCCCAGGGGTGAGAGGCGTTAGCCGAGCTCGGGGCTGTCCCGGGTGGGGTTGATCCTCCAGGTGCGGG